AGCATCATTGGATCGGTGTGTTTCATTTCTGTGGAGGGTATTTAGCCAGATGTCAGGATGAGTTGGTTGGTGCCAAAACATGTCATTTTGAAGCATGAGTACTATCTTCTATTGTTGTTTTGGAATTGGTGGCTTGCATTGGTATTGTTGGCAGGTATCAATACATGAATAGGCTCGGGATGGTCATTAATTGTAGGCAGCTGAACCATGGTACAGTTATATCTTGACTTAAAGCTTTCGTGACTGCAGGAATTAATATTCTTTGGGATGTGACATGCAATACCCCGGCATCTACAAACTAAGCTGTGTCTGCAGCAGTAGTTACATTGGGGAAACTAAGTGACATGTCTCGGACCGTGTTCGTGAACTTAAGGCATATCTGAAACACGGTAGGACCAATATCTCGGCCGTGGCTGATCATTGTTTTAATGCGGTGGGCTCATGCGAAATTGATTTCTCTAAGACAAAGGTACTTTGCAAACCCACTGGCTATCAACAAAGATTTGTTCATGAAGCCATCCATATATACAGACACACAATTTCAAGTGAGAAGATGGGTCCAAACGTAATCATTGGAAAGATGTTATCAACCAGTTTAAGTTATAACTGGCTGTGATGTTCGCTGTTATTTTCAGCTCTCCGATTTTACATTAACAAGTAAAATTTGTCACACTAACACAGCCACCTTAGCGCGCTAACCTAGACGTGGCGGCGGCTCTGCGATCTTTCATTAACATGCTAATCTCTCACATTAACATAGCCACATCAGTGCGCTGGCCGTGGAGGCCGTTCACTGATCTTACATTAATATGCTGCATTGGCATTGCTGCTGCATTGGCGTTGTTGCCATGCCCTTGCTGCTGATACTGCTGATACACTTGGGCTACGCCCATCTCCCAACCTTTATAAACAGTTTGTCTTTAGAGGCGAACCCCTTTTCCTGATGACTGCTTGTGTTGCGATCGAAACGTCGGTTGTTTTTTGTTATTTTCTTTTAACCTATCTACATGACTTTACCGAAAGACCCAAAGAACATGGTACAGTTGCAGCATAGCCCTGGAGGGTCTCCTTTTCATGCCATTGCATTGCAGTAGCTGAACGAAGTAGACATGGAAGCAATGGCAATTTATGGATCAGAAGTGTAAATGAAGTGAGGAACGTGTGGAAAAGAAATACTTTTCCTTTTGGCTGCAGGGTATGCACCTGGTGTTGTTTTTCTGTGTAGCTCATTGCTGTTGAGGAGTTGCATTTTCTGTAGGTGCAGCCATCACAGCACTGGCAACATGCCGTCTTGCTTCTTGGTGTTCAGGAGTGTCATATTATCAATAGGTGCAGCCATCGCAGCCATGGCAACATGCTCTTGCTTCTTAGTGTTCAGGATATTCATTAGCTGTAGGTGCAGCACAGGCAGCATGCTGTCTAACTTTGTGTTAAGGAGCTTCATTAGCTCTAGAAGCGCACGTTTTCTGCGAGGAACATTATTGGTGGAGGTCAAAGTTAATAAGCATAAAAAAGAGTAAGGGGCCGTCCATAAATGACTTCACGCACCTAGGGGGGAGGGTTTGAGAAATGGACGTCACATCAAAATGCGCAACTTTAAATAAATTTAGAATTGTTATAACAGCACTCCTACAACATCAGAGTGCAGCGCCACATTAAATACGCACTACAATGACAATAGTTTAAAGCGATTTGAAGCATGTTTTATTTTCAAAATGGAAATATGGTTTTGGGGGGGGGGCAGAGCTTTGTGACGTCATATTTGAGGGGGGGGGTCTGACTTTTTGTGATGTCGTGTGATGAGGGGGGGGGGGTCAAAAATCGTCCAAAATTGCGTGACGTCATGAGAGTGCCCCTTTAAATCGCAACCCACAGGCCGGATCAGAGACTGACACGGAACGATATAACTTGATCTGTAGCGTGTCCTCTGCAGCACGTGTCGTACAGACAACTGGAAGAGGACTCTCTTGAAGAGGGGTGGGGGGGGAGACGACAGGCATGTGAGTGAATGCTATATATATTTTTAAGGAAATGATAGTTGAATGTGTAATCGTTGTAGGGATGTGAAGACATAGCCGCTAAGAAACGAATTGTTTTTGTTTGTAGTGCTTGATGTGGGCATTAATAGCATGTGTGTGGTGGTGTGTGTACATATAGAATTATTTTAACGCTTCTCCATGTATTTGCACGCTTTGTTTTCCTTACCAGGCGATGCAGACTTGATGTATTTAGTCGTAGCTGTGGTATAGCATCTCTATTGTGTAGAAGGAGGTCGGTAGTGTTGATACGAAGATGTAAATACCTTTTTTCATAAATATTGGAGTATGTTAGAGGTGAGCCGTGTGTTGCAGAGAGGACGGAAAAGGAGCCAGAAGTGGATGAATTTGGTGGCAAAAACAGGGCTGATAATAGGGAAGGATAACGTGGTAAATATGAGAACAAATATGGCAGTGCAGTGGAGACATGTTATGGTGCGTGCGTGGAATTATAGGATATGAAATGTCATAATGTGTTTGCATGTGTGGCAAACCGGAAGTAGTGAGAATGCCCCGGGCTTTTTAACACATTGCAAGAGAAATAGAGGGGGCGAGGTGAGGAGCGGGGGGATGTGCAGGTAGTACACACTAATTCACCCGTGAGTACGCATGGAAAGTTTGGGGTGTGTTGGCGCAATTTGGTTCACCAAAATAGCTACACAAGTGCAAAGTCTGCTTTTTCTTTATAGATTCATACAATTTTTTGTCTTGGAATATTTTTTTGTAAATGGTTTCTCCGTGTTTCAATTGTTTAGTTTATTTGGAGTACAGTACAATACTTATTTAAGTTGTGATGTATATTTTAGTTAATGTTTACATAACGCCATGACTTAGGTAAGGCTTAAGTACTGAATTTCACACTTTTAGCTTTCACGCGGCAATTTCCAAGAACGTAACCTCCGTGATATGCAAGGGACTGCTGTATTTTCTGTCTATTGACTACAGCAGAGGTGTACGGATTTTTTTTACAGAAACTAGATCTCTGCATTCTTGGTTTAATTAAGGCCTATAGTACCATAAAGAGGCTTGGGGCTTTGGGTTGTTATTTGTTTTCAAATCTATGCCTCTGCTCACATTATTTGAGGATTTGTATGATATTGGGCAGGACAACCTAAAGCTGCTTGATCAGGAGTCGGAGCCATTTCCTGTTCAACTTGGATTGTGACAGAAATTCACTCTGGCCCCATGCATTACATTACATAGCATCTACATCATGGGACCTCCTTTGTCAGTGCCAAAACATGAGAATAGTTTTTCCCCTTTTTTCTGGCAACAAAACAGGAGTAAAGATGTTAAAACACCAAACTGAAACCTTTTACAAGGAATCGTGTCTGCATTAACCACAATACTTTTGGTCAGAATGCAAACACAAAATGTACTCTGATAATATATGCATTAATCTTGATTTCAAGCTTTCGTGACTGCAGGAATCCATACTCTTTGGTTCTTTCGGTAAAGTCACGTAGGTAGAAATAAAATAAAATAAATCACGACGTTTCGAACTCAACACAAGCGCCCGTCTTCAGATGAAAATCGCGACAGCTGCGATGTCTGCTGCGAGCAGCACGATGTCTGATCCCTTGTGAAGAGAAGCTGTTACCAGCAAGAGTTTATATAAGTTTTGAGAACAAAGGCAGTCGAATTAGTGTTAATGGGGTATTAAAGGTAATAAATAGCGTGGCATGTTAAAGGAAATGAAGTTAGATTAGCATGTTGGATTATAGTGCAAAGTTTATGAGCTTCCGTAGCGCATAAGAACTCAGATTGGCATGTAGGATTAGAATATGTATTTTAATGAGCAAGTTAATGTCAGTCTATGTGGAACAAAGAATAGCATGTTAAAGTTAATGAGAAAAGCATGTCAAAGTCAATGAGCGAAGTTAATGAGAATATGTTAAAGTCAATGAGAGATAAGCAAGTCGATGCAGTCATGCCGGTGGTTGCATGTCCGTATGTGATAAAAGCAGCCATGTTAGCGATCCAAAAGATGACCATGCTAACGCATGAGGGTGCGGAGCATGCTCCTGCTACGGAGCTTCGCTGTTGCGAAGCTGGCTGCTAAAATAACACTTGTTACCCAGGGACAAAAATTGTGTTACATAGTTGAAGTGAAAGCTGAACTTATTGTGGGCCTCTGCTATGTTGATTGATCTTAAATTAATTACATGGTGAAGTGAGGAAGCATTAATACTGAGCAGATGAAGGCGGCCAGGCATGGTTTTGGACACACCACCACCTTTTTACCATGCCAATGTGTGACAGTATCAAGTTTGTATTTTCAGTAATGTATATTAACTATTGAACATGGAGGTTAAATCAAAATAATAGTTTATTTTAGTTTTCCTCTGGAACTTTTTCTAAGAATGGAAACAGGAAAATATCTCAGCACATATGCACCTGAAGTTAGATTTGTTCATCTGAGCATTCAAGCAAATCTGGGCCTGGCTTCACACCTCGAAGTTTCGATTGAACATTAATTTATGCATTTCTGCATAATACAAATATCTTTTTCAACACCCTTTGCTATGTTAGCTGAATTTTTCTTAAATAATTATTACTTTCGTAGCTAGACAGCCAAAGTTGTGTGCTTGGAGTTTCGGGTTAACATTCATTTTGAAGATACTAGGGCATTCGGGCATATTTATGACCATTTGCCCTCTCATTGTGTGCCTTAACAGCCGGTGTGATGAATTGGGAATCCTTTTCACTATATCATGAATCTCTGAATAAGTATGGACGTGTAAGTCATGTGTGACTGTGTTTATATTCATTCCTCTGTGCCTCGATACTGATGTAGATGGTGTGGATATGTTTTCTGTCTGCAGCTGATGCTTCCTCTGGCGCGTCCTCTGCAGAATTGATCTGATGGAGCAAAGACACTCAGCACAGCTTGGTACAAGAAGGAAACAATGCGACCAGTATGCAAACAGCATGGATCGTACTGTAAATTTGACACGGCACCAGAGAACTCGCACAGGAGAGAAACCTTTCAAGTGCGCTGTGTGTGAGAAGGCATTTGCATGGTCATCAAAACTTAAAAGACACCAGAGAACACACACAGGAGAGAAACCTTTCAAGTGCACTGTGTGTAAGGAGGCATTTTCACAGTCAACACATCTTAAAATACACCAGAGAACACACATGGGAGATAAACCCTTCAGGTGCACTTCGTGCTCGAAAGCGTTTGCACATTCATCACATCTTAAAATACACCAGAGAACGCACACAGGGGAGAAACCCTTCAAGTGCAGTGTGTGCGGGAAGGCATTTGCACTGTCAAAAGATCTTCAGAGCCACCAGAGAACACACACGGGAGAGAAACCCTTCAGGTGCCCTCTGTGCGGGAAGGCATTTGCACAGTCACAAGATCTTCGGAGCCACCAGAGAACACACACCGGAGAGAAACCCTTCAAATGCAGTGTGTGTGAGAAGGCATTTTCAGTGTCATCAAATCTTAAAAAACACCAGAGAACACACACAGGAGAGAAACCTTTCAAGTGTACTGTGTGTGAGAAGGCATTTTCAGAGTCATCATATCTTAAAAAACACCAGAGAACACACACAGGAGAGAAACCCTTCAAGTGCAGTGTGTGTGGGAAGGCATTTCCAATTTCATTTTATCTTAAAATACACCAGAGAACACACACAGGAGAGAAACCCTTCAAGTGCACTGTGTGCGGGAAGGCGTTTTCACGGTCTTCTGTTCTTCAGAGCCACCAGAGAACACACACAGGAGAGAAACCCTTCCAGTGCACTGTGTGTGACAAGGCATTTGCATGGTCATCAGTTCTTCAGAGCCATCAGAGAACACACACCGGAGAGAAACCCTTCAAGTGCACTCTGTGCGGGAAGGCGTTTTCACAGTCACCACATCTTCATAGACACCAGATAACACACAGCCATCAGAAGATCCCCATGGAGTGTGGTCTGAAATCGACTTGTGAAAGTCAAAGTGCTGCAATTAGCCCATCCCTCCTGAAACAAGAACCAGAAGAAAATCCCAACTTGGACAATTTAAAAGGTATCAAGGTGAAATGTGAAGAGGCGAATGTGAAATGTGAAGAGGCGACAGTGAAGAGCGAAGAAGTGAAGGTAAAATGTGAATATGAAGATTCAACTCCAAAGTCGGACCTTCACATGAAGCAGGAGGAGATTTCTGACTGTGAGGCAGAGCGAGGGACCTCCCAGCAGTTTGTGGAAGTGGAGGTGTGGGTCGACTTCTTAGACAATACAAAGTCAGATGGAGACCCGGTAGATGTGTAAGCTTGAGACAATGAAGCTCCAATAAATTCACCTTTGTCACGGGCCTTTAATGAAAATAACGTGAAGTTCAACACTCAATTCCTCGGTGTTCAACCTGCAGAGTAAGAGTGGCCAGTATTTGTGAACCTGTGGGTTTGGAAGATGTCTAACCAGGAGCGAGAGCCAATAAGCTCCCAAGCATTCACTATGTTATAATATTAGCATTTATATGGTGCTTGCTTAATTGCCTCAGCAACTCGGAGTTTTGTATCAAATCTCATGACAAACACTCGAAGAGCATGTTGTATATATGTCTTTTCCAAAATGTTATATTAAGAGTGATTCTCCCCTTTTTTTTGTAATTATTTTGATCGGGATGTAGCGCTGGGGCACGGAAAGGGTGAGTCCCCCCCCTGTCTCCTACCTTGCCACAAAATATAAACAGCTGGAGGATAATTACTCACAAGCCTGCTTGAGAAGTAACACAGTGTAATTTAAAAAAACTGGCAAACCCAAGGGGGGGGCTAATGAGATTCTGCGGGTAATCCCCAGTTGACTTCAAGAGAAGACTGCCATAAAGGAAACAACCCACAATAAATCAAACAAGACGGAAACATCAGGGGTCACGAGCCTCCCCGGACAGCGAAATCCACCCAAGGGCAGTTCATCATTATGAGCTGACTTGGATTTTAAAATACAACAGTAAAGTTGGAAGCTTAGCTATATCTTCAACCTCAGGATATCAAAATATAACTTGAGAATAAGAAGCACGGATCCCTGGCGATACAGACGGGGAACAAAGGTAAATGAAAACCTCGAAATATCCTTGGTAACAACTATGGTATACCACGAAACTTGGTTAAGCATGAACCAAATCATTATGAAAGTATTAGACCTAGGGTCATTCAGAAGAGATACAATGTGAAATTTGTCAATCACACACGACCAACATAATATGTATTCCATGGGATCAGAGCCTCACCAATCGCCTTTGTCTTCCAGTAGCTACCACGCATATGGTAGCAGTAAATTATGTATACAGGGGGCGCCTCCCCCTAATATATCAAATACCACGCAAGTATTCCAAACTACGATGTGAGTGCTGTGATCGCTGCTCAAAACATACTTTCAGTCTCTTGCAGAGTCAAAACTGCAGAAAGTGGTACGGTACCAAGAGGTCTAAAATTATTTTATGTTTTTCCAACACGTGATGAGAGGATGGAAAACATGACAGCAAGCACATCTGTGCACAATAGGTCACGACTTCAAAGGCCACAGCGCCCCTTTTTGAGAGAGAGACTGCAAGTCTGAGGCAAAAATATTTTTTAACCCTTCCAACCCGTGACGGGAGCGTGGGGAACGCTGCCCGAAACGTGAACGAAAACATTGTGGTAATCAGGACAACAAACAGCCCAAGCGACTTAAAAAGGAAAACAGCTGCCCCTTTGTGAGAAGAAAGAGCCTGAGGTGGAAAAATTCAGATATAAGCAAGAACACAAGAACAGACATCAGTACTAGATTTGAAGCTTTCGTGACTGCAAGTATCCATACTCTTTGGTTCTATTCGGTAAAGTCACGTAGGTAAAAAATAAAACAACAAAAATCATGATGTTTCGGCCACAACACAAGTGGCCTTCATCAGGTGAAGGGACCGGACTGTCTCGAGGACAGCGCTGGAGTGAACACAGCCAAGTTCAGACCGCGACCTTTAAGCTGTGTGAGAGGAATTAAGGTGCCTTGACAAAGGAATTAGCATAAAAATTAGCATTTAATTGGCGGACTTAGCATGATGAACGGTGTAGAGGGGGTGAATATGTGCAGGCCAGCGAGGGGTGGAGGGGGAGTTTACATATTGATGGTGTGAAAAGGGAATTTTAAGAAGCTGCAAAAGTTTGGGGTACCACTACTTGAAAAAATATACTGCACCATTGAAATTTAGTTTGATGTTTGGTTCGATTTAGAACATCTTTCCAATGGTTGCTTAATTTGAAACGATCTTCTCGGTTGAAATTGTGTCTGTGTTTGTAAACCTGAATTGCCTCGTGAACAAATCTCTGATAAAAACCCGTGGGTTTGCAAAGAACCTTGGTATCGGAGAAAATTATATCGTGATCACCCACAGCGTTGTAACAGTGATCAGCTACGGCAGAATAATTCGTTCTGCCGTGTTTCAAATCTTATTCGTGCTCACGAATTTGGTCAGAGACATGTCGCTTCGTCTCCCCGATATAGCAATCACCGCAGGTACAACTCAATTTGTAAACCCCGGGGTACTGTAAGTCAGGAATGACATCCTTCACGGATGGGATCAGATCACGAATTTTGAGTACTGTATTGAACCGGACCTGGATCTTGTGTTTGTTTAGAATTTTGGAAATCTTTTTAGTAACGCCTGCTATATATGGTAGTGTGATGGTTTTGACCGGAGTATCAAGTGGTTGTTTCTGTATGGAGGGAGAAACAGCTTGGCGGATGGTACAGTCAGAGTATCCATTCCTTTTGAGGGCCAGGTGTACATGTTTTAATTCACTGGTCAGGTGGTGTTGGTCCGAAATGCAATGAGCCCTATGGTATAAAGTTTTGATGAGAGAATTATTTTGAGCTGGGTGGTGGTGGGAATCAGGTTTCAAGTAGGAATCTGTGTGGGTGGGTTTCCTGTAGACAATGCCCCAATGAGCCATCAGGTCTCCTCTCAAACAGTATATTTTTTCAAGTAGTGGTACCCCAAACTTTCGCAGCTTCTTAAAATTCCATTTTCACACCATCAATATGTAAACTCCCCCTCGCCGGCCTGCACATGTTCACCCCCTCTACACCGTTCATCATGCTAAGTCCGCCAATTAAATGCTAATTTTTATGCTAATTCCTTTGTCAAGGCACCTTAATTCCTCTCACACAGCTTAAAGGTCGCGGTCTGAACTTGGCTGTGTTCACTCCAGCGCTGTCCTCGAGACAGTCTGGTCCCTTCATCTGATGAAGGCCACTTGTGTTGTGGCCGAAACGTGATTTTATTTTTTACCTACGTGACTTTACCAAATAGAACCAGAGAGTATAGACATCAGTACTGCGAGTGGCAGGCTCCAGGGATTGTCCTCATGACTGGCAAGATTGGTAGGGAGCTCTGCATCGGCAGAAGCCACGCATCACGGAGAGTATTTTTTTTTATGTTTGCGTCATTCAGAGAGGCTACCAGCCAAGGCTGGTACTCGCTGTATTTCAATACAAACGTGGGGAAGAGTGCTGTAGCATTACTATTCCCGGGGATGAGGTCGCTGTGTATAGCCAACACATGCGATCATAGAGTGACAATCGTTACGATTGTGCTCAAATCAAAGTCAACCCTTCGAGGGAAAACTGGTGCAACTACTATTCATGAGAGTGCCCCTTTAAATCGCAACCCACAGGCCGGATCAGAGAGTGACACGGAACGATATAACTTGATCTGTAGCGTGTCCTCTGCAGTACGAGTCGTACAGACAACTGGAAGAGGACTCTCTTGAAGAGAGGTGGGGGGGGGGGAGACGACAGGCGTTGTCTTTCCACAGTCTCTCCACAGTCTAAAAGGATCAACAGGGTGGTGCCAAGGGGGGTGACGCGCAGCAACCAGCGGACGAGCTGCGAGTGGTGTTTGGCGACGGGATCATCGCGCACATCGACGCAGACAGAGCCCGGCCCATCATCCTTGCCAGCACGGGTACCTCCAACAGCGTGACCAGTGTGCAACCACCCCAGCGGTGGTTAGAGACTGACGAAGCAGCTGAGAGCGCCATGTGTTCGACACACGCCAACCCAGCGCCCCTGCTGGGGACCTGAGGTGTTTTCGGTACAAGGAACGCTGCACCTCGAAAGCGGCTAACTGAACAGTTAGCAAGAAGACAACAAACACCCACACACATAACGCGCATATTGGTACTAATAAGATTGTTCCAAAAAGTTATCTTTGTGTTTCAGAAAGGGTTACCATCCCAAGGTGGTGCGTTAACTATTAGCGGATTGTGAAAAGCATTGTTTTGTCCCTTGAGTTACATGAATACGGTCGTTTAGAAGTATTTTAGTCATTCGTTTTCGTTAATTGCGTAACCTTACCAATTAATGAATTAATGAAACACTAAACATTTATAAGCATCTATGTTACGAATCTACACACTCAAAGTAATACTATTGTTGAGATTTTTCTTTTGATCACAGAATCTTGCCCGCGAATTCATCTATGTCCCATTAGCCAATTGATAAGCATCTGTTAGCCAAACAGGCACAACTAGCATGCACACTGTTGTTTCAGGACATTTAGTTAATTGCGTAATCTTACCAATTAATTAATTGATGTCTACTTTTGCCATTGGGCACATTTCGTTAGCTCGTTTCGTATGAATATTGTCATTTTTAAGGACTTTTCCTAACGCAGTGTATGGTCGCGCTACTCTGCGGAGTTAGCCGATTGTTCTGTTACTCAGTTTTAACAAACGTAACCATTTAGGGTTAATTGTATGGATCAATGAGTAGGACATCTTCAGGAGTACGGTGTTGACAATTCCGATCATAAGTGTGTTCGCATACTAGAGTGTTTTTAGATATTAAAGTTACTTAACATAGAAAAATCTGAGTGGTTCCTTCCTAATTT